AAACAAATCTTACAGGAAAACAACTGTAAATCTCTACTCAGCAATTCACTTTTCATAAATAATTTAAAGTCGCGAGACTGGAGACTTTTATGACAGCAAATGAATTATGTACGTTTTGTTTAACCACAAATCACATATGGAATTTTTCTTTTTCTTATTATTTCACTATAATAATTATCATTCTTGATCCTGGATTACACAAATATTAAAGCTTTTATAATTCCACAATACACAAAAACCTAAATTAGTTATTGCTAACAGTTTCGCGTGATTATTACTCAGGAAAAATACTAGTGACACTACAGAAAGATTTATTTACCGTAAATTGTTGATGGAAAACTAATATCATAAGAACTTTCGTAAATATTTGCAAAGATCAAACGATTAAGCGAACAAGTTTTTATAAATGTGTGAAAGATAAAGACGAGAATTACGACAATTTTTACTACATACTTTAACCGGTTAGGTACATACTTTGCAAGTAGGAAATTCTGTTATAAGTAAACGTAATACAATTGTAATAAATATGCATATCAATTATATTTACACACTCGAACTTAATTAAATGCCATTCAGGTTTTAATTTGTACAAATAAAACGAATAAAAGCGTGAAAAGTATTAGTGTTTTATTCTGATTAAGGTTAAACAACCTGTGAACCTGTTATTTTTGAGTAGATTTATTATGAAAAACTATAATAGTCCCAATTTAATAAGTATGATTGACAACCTATCTGATAAATTGAGAAAGCAATGGGCGGTATTATTTGTTAAAAATATACCAGCGATTGCTTTCTGAATTGATTTCTTTCGGAACGTTAACCGTCAAATACGCAATTCCATATGACATTGTTTAAATTCTTGTCTTCATTGGTATGTTTCAATTATTTGCTTTCTCCCATGAACAATCTGCCAATAACGAAAGTTGCTAGTCCCGTGTAAAACAAGTAAGCTTGCAGAAACTTGTTCTACAATGATGGTGACCATAAAAAAACACTAGCATTTAATACCACTACGATAATGTCAGGAAACTAATAAAAAACTTAACATATTCGTTTTACATAAGCGCAGTAAATGTCATTAGAGAACTGTATAAGTGCTTTGAGAAAATTAGAGCCCAGTTTTATGAACCGCCTATGGCGATTTGAGTGACGTCGACCCCTACCTGGAGTCGCCACTGCCTCATGATTAATGACGGGAGCTCTTCATGAAGAGTAGCCTATAACCAGTTTGGCTAGAATTGATGATAGCAAGTAATTGGATGATAGGCCATCATTATGCTGTTACAGCGCGCTCTTTGACGGCCGCTCTTTCTAACTGATGGTCGTTGTTGATAATGGCATGGTTGTTACTCCAACAGCTATGTTCTTCATGATAATCTTCGTAATAATTACATTAAAATAACTCATGCACGGCGCGTAATTTTCATTATTCCAATTTAAACCCAGACATTTTGTATTTGATGCAAAAGGATAATGAGACCAAAATACTCCTAGATTTTTAATTTATTCATATCATATTTTTCTTCACACCGAAAAACTACTTGATCTTCCTTTCAATGGTGCAATAAAAAGTTTCAACACGTAATTATTTTCCATCGGCGTTTATGTTATCAAACGAACCTAACAAATTTACGATGTCATGTGGAATTTATCTATTAAATATTTAGAAATTAAATAGATAGGGTTAATTTATTCGAATACTTCATTAACTCGGTAAAATATCAAATAAGATTCAATGAATATTTTTAGTCCGGTCAAATTAGTCATAAAAATAGTGGTCAAATAACAAAAATTCCGACAGAGCTAAATTTTGGTGGAGACCTTGGGTACACCATTAGAAATAAAGTGTCAAAAGTCCCCATCGATCCCATGTGTGCTAAAAAAGTTATTCGGGGTCAAAGGTCAAAATTTGAAGTTTTTTAAATTTTTTTCGAAGACGGCAAGTTTTTTCAAAAAAGTAGGCCAGACAAAAATTATAGATCTTAAAATTATCTACAAAAATGGTCTTACACTTTTTTTCTAAGAATCACCATTCCTGAGATATCGCGATTCTAAGAATTGAAGGAGTAACGTTCTACATCATATGCACATACAGAGTGCGCCAGAACTCGCGCCCCAAAGACAAATGCCATCATGTAGGGTAAGGTTCCAGGAACATATAAAAAATTAAAAAAAAATGATCTATAAAAACTTCAAAGTTATGAGTGTTTAAATTTTGCACTTTAGACTCTATTTATTCCTGTTGGAAAAATAATTTTCCAAGTTTTTTTGCTACAGGCTATAAGAAGCGGAAACAAGGAAGCTGTATCTTAAACTGCAACTCTGTTTAATGTTATGTGGTTTTTATTGACAAAATTTTTGTACCTTTACTAAATAATTATGAAAAAACATATACAAGGTCATCAGTATTATTAAATAGACATAAAAAATGTCAAATGTCAAAAAATAAATGTCAAAATTTTTTGACAGATAGAATTTTTTAAACATTTTTTCAATACTCTGAGGACTACCCAATTACTCCCTTTCAAGGAAGTGCGCGATTTTTTAAACATTCTATATGTATTACCAAATAAATTCTTTTTAATTCTAATGGAATCAAGATATTTATAAGTTTAATGAAGTAGAAGAAAAATTTCAAGTACGATAAGATACCTGAAACATAAAAAAAATGTTTAAAAAATTCTATCTGTCAAAAAATTTTGACATTTGTTTTTTGACATTTGACATTTTTTTATGTCTGTTTAATAATACTGATGATTTTGTATATGTTTTTTTTTACAATTATTTAGTAAAGGTACAAAACTTTTGCCAATAAAAGCCACAAATAACATTAAACAGAGTTACAGTTTAGGAATACAGCTTCCTTGTTTCCGCTTCTAATAGCCTGTAGCAAAAAAACTTAGAAAATTATTTTTCCTACAGAAATAAATAGAGTCAAAGTGCAAAATTTAAACTCTCATAACTTTGAAATTTTTATAGATAGATTTTTTTTAAATTTTTTCCATGTTTGTGGTACCTTACCCTACATGGCATTTGTCTTTGAGACAGGAGTTCTGGCGCACTCTGTATGTGCATATCATGTAGAATGTGACTCCTTCAACTTTTAGAATCGCGATATCTCAGGAATGGTGATTCTTAGAAAAAAAGTATAAGGACCATTTTTGTAGATAATTTCAAGATCTATAATTTTTGTCTGGGCTACTTTTTTGATAAAACTTACCGTTTTCGAAAAAAATGTAAAAAACGTCAAATTTTGACCTTTGACGCCGAATAACTTTTTTAGTACACATGGGATCGATGGGGACTTTTGACACTTTATTCCTAATAGTGTACCCTAGATCTCCACCAAAATTTGGCTCTGTCGGAATTTTAGTTATTTGAAATGTCTATTTTGACCGGACTATTTTATTTTTTTAATAATGAAAAAGTGTGTAATGACAATTTTGACAACTAACACCACGACCATTAAAAAATGCTTCAACTTTGGAAAAAGCTACTTTATAGACGATTGTGAAGACGGTGACACTTTTAACACGTCTTTAACTAAAGCATATATCATATTTAAAATTCCTGTATATAATTTCAGCATTTTGTTTGTGCAGGCAAATACATATTTTTGTTGAATTAAATTACTTATGATTATGAATACAAGAAAATTTCATATTATTATTTGCCAAGAACATGAAGGATACTTAACCTATTTTGTTCAAAGTGTAAATGTATAAATAAAACTAACCTCCGACTATTTCTTTAACAAAATTTTAAATTTCTAAAAAATGCTTGTAATGAAGTAAAAATAGGTAATAATGTTAATTTGTTGCAAATACTAATTTAATAAAAATTATAACGTAATTCTTTCATTGCCCGATTAAAAACGGCATAAATTTTCCTTATAATAAAAGAATTAGAATAATGAGGCCAATCAGAGATAAGCAAAATCACTTAAGAACATTTGTAAAATAAACATTTACAATGTTATTTTGTTAAGTAAATCAAATTTATTTTAAAAACACTGAATATTTTTTGATTTCAGCATATTTATTTTAGAAGAATTAATTTTAGAGGCCAGGAAAATTTTCGGAATCGAAATATTCATAACATAAAGTCATAAATTAAACATCAATAAACTATGCCATAATACTGACTATAAATCATCCTAGTCGTGTTTTATTTTATGACTAAAGTCGTTGATTTTTTAAACTTTCTTTCCCGCAAACAGTTTTATGCGTACTTGAAAATAAAACTGGAATTCCAATTTATAACATTTATGATTTAATGACAAATATATCTCTAAAACAAGATTTATTTGAAAAAAATACCAAGTTTATTTTGGACAAGCGCCACCTCCTCCAGTAAATGCCAACGAATCTTGTCACTCACTTTGCTCATTTGGCACAAGTCCCAGAACAAGTATGAACTGCCATTGTCAATCAGTTACAGGGAGTAATAATAATCTCTTAGCATTCAATCCGTCAGACAGGCATCGGAATCATAGGATATATTTTCTCCGTGGTATAAAAATTTGGCCGCTGCCACTTTTAAGTTTGTTTGGATTCCAACAACTCGTTCGTTTAAGTGACACCTGTTACAACGTAAATCTCTCAAGCAATACCGTCTAACAATACGTCCTCCGTGTTAACGGATTCACTTGAAAGAAATACATATAGACATTTGATGAGCGTTTTACGATTTGTTATCTGTACAAAAACAAATTTGTGGAGACGAACGATAATGTATTTATTGGAAAGTCTGATACACATTTCGAAATGTGCGGGTTTCAATTAGTAAGCAGTGGCGTGCAAGCCCGTCACCTTCAAGACACGATGATGAATGAGCTCGTGACGTGCTCAGGTGATCCATCATACACAAGAGATTGGAGATGCCAAGGGAAGGTCACTTGCCGGCAATCCATCATTGCGGCTTTCACACCCATCTGCCATCATCGTCAATTCACCTGCGCCCCACTCTTTCCCCCACAAAAAAGAAATAAAATACAACAATCGTTCTACAAACATTTTATTAAAGCAATATCGAAACTCAACATTAAATACTTACAAGTCTATACAAATATTTTTTTATTGAATTATTTAATGATTAAAGTATCGTTGAAACGGGAGAAAAACTTAGAAAGAAAATGGACAGTTTTATAATTTATTGCCCTAAGATTAAGTCCGCTTCAGATTGCACTTAATTTTAATCAGCTTTAGCTTCGTCAAAATTATTTACACGTTATCACAGTGGAGCAAACAGACCGATACAGACGCCATGTCTGTATAAGTCAAAACATGAGAAGAATTACTACAAGTATCACTATGGATGCACAGCAGCAGCGCCAAGACGTTGCCCATAAACGGAATATGGCGAGTAATAAGCTCCAAGTGCCGTCGGATTAAAAGCACTATATGGAGAAGCTCCCAACGAGGTAGGTAGAGTGGGTTTCCCATACGGATGATACCTCGCCGCTGATAACGGACTAAGTGGGGGATTGGGATACCCAGGCCTATGGAGCGACGCCGCTGACGAAAATAACGAATGAGGATTAAGTAAAGGCGACGCCGAGGATGTCACCGCCGCCGAACCATCAGATCCACTCGTATGTGTCCTCAGATGCTGCAACAACTCCTCGGACGTGACAAACCTCTTTCCACAGTAGGTGTCCCCTGCTATCCAATTACACACATATGGTCGTCCCAACTGGGGGTATGCGAGTGACGATGGCGGCACAGGACCTGGGGGCACTAACGACATTGCCATAGCCAAATTATACTTCTGGTGATCGCATTGCGTGCAGCCGCTGGGACAAGGGCCAGATGCTCCACTCATCAACAATTGCTGATTGTGCATGTTGAATTGGCAACTGGTGCAATAAGGGTCTTTACACACTGGAACTAAAGCTTCACCACCTGACGGTGTTTTGACACGCGCGTAACTCAAATACGGTCCCGGAGTGGCACCCGGATATCCAGCAGCGAGCATGGCAGCGTGGTGATGCGAAAATGGAGCTCCGGGAAACGGAGGTCTGAAAGCCGGATTCGTGTGTTCGAGTCCGGGAGGACAACACAGCGATCCTAAAGGGCCGTTCAATCCTGATGATAAACCAGACGAAAGAGAACCGTGCTTATATGCCCCCAATGGTGTATCTTTCGAATGTCCTTGCAAAATCTCTAAACCGGATCTGATGATGGGACTAGCACCACGAGCCGACGGAGTTGACGATTTGTTTTCACCCGAACCTGGAGAAGTTTTCCCGGTTTCGGGGGCCGGAGTCGCAGCAGTACTAGTGGCTGGTGACACTGATTTCCGTTCTGGACTTTGCGTTTCTGATTTCTTATCTTCACTCGGTGTAGAATTTTGATGAGCAGATCCTGATTTTGAGTTAGGCCGGTTCTCTTCGCTCTTTTTTGTAACTACATTGTTTTCATACGGCTTAAAAGCGAGTTTGTTTTCAGTCGGTGTGTTTCTATGAGCATTCTTGTCGTTTTTTACTGGAGGAGAACGCGTAGAATTCTCTTGCGTCTTCTTTGGTTTCTCCAATGGAGAAATCAAAGGCTTGGACGATGGAGTGTCAGCTCCGATTTGGCTGCATGTTTGTGCGAGAAGTGCCAAAGGACTTTTCTTAGCGTCCAACTGAAAAATAAATTTGCATTCAATTAAACATTCAACGTTTAGCTAAAATCTATCTTACCGTAGTTGGTAACGGTGACAGATAATCCGGCTGCAAATATTGATTTCCGGATGTTGACAACATGCCTCCACCCTCCAACACAACCATTTGGAATAAATGCACGTTTACGGTGAATAAAAACAATTATACGATTAAACAAACTGACAACACACGAGCGCAAACTTGCTTTCATACGACGGACAACTCTAGTATGAAAGTCTGAAAGCAACAGAACTACGCTCTCTAAACGAGAGGCTATTGCGCAGGTTTGGCAGCCCCTCCAGGTCTTTGCAGCCCCGCTGAAAGTCGTAGCATGACAAAGCGCTAATACAGCCACGTTTCTGGCCTGTCGGTTTCTACCACCCATGAAGTTGGTGACGACGACAGACCTTCTGGGTGCTTTGATGTTAGCCGCCCTTAAACAGTCAGTAGCGTACAAAACACGGGAAAAGAACAACAAACCAAAGGAACAATGATGACGGATGGTTGGTGGCGCAGTTCACTGTGAAGTTATTACAACCTGTCGGTCATAAAATACAGTAAACTTTATTTATTTTATGGTTCCGTCTACTACAGCTGTCATAACTTTTATAAACATGTCAAGATACAATTTTATCTATGTTTGATGCTATCGCAAACACTAGTTGGAGAAAATGTTAAAATCTCAGAAGCTAATTAGGAGACGCCTTTTTAGAACAATCGAATTCTCACCAAGGATATTACCTAATAACGTCATAAATCATTTCACGCCTTTCATCATCGACCTTACAGATTTGCCGATAAACACGTCGGCTTCTATTAATAATAGTCGTAGCAAACCCATTAGAAATCACTGTTAATTAGCTACATAATTTAAAAATAATATCTCATTTGAATCGTTGTTTGCCTCCTTTACAACAAGTCGTAAATATACATTTTTAATTAATTTAAATGGTTTTTATTTCCTTTCAATAAAAACCCGACGTATAATTAATTAACAACACCTGACAGATTGTTGTTCTTCCTTCGCTTAAGAATTTCGACATAACGCGAGATTGAACAAGTTTGACCCACATAACTAAAAAAGTATACAACAAATATCTTAAAATTAGGTAACATCAATATACAGGCTACGCCAGAACTCGCGCCCCAGAGAAAAATTTCAAGTAAGATAAGATACCAGGAACATGAAAAAAATGTTTAAAACATTCTATCTGTCAAAACATTTTGACATTTATTTTTTGACATTTGACATTTTTGATATCTATTTAATGATACTGATGATCTTGTATATGTTTTTTTTATAATTATTTAGTAAAGGGACAAAAATTTTGACAATAAAAGCCACAAATGACATTGAACAGAGTTACAATTTAGGATACAGCTTCCTTGTTTCCTCTTTTAATAGCCTATAGCAAAAAAACTTGGAAAATTATTTTTCCAATAGAAATAAATAGAGTCAAAGTGTAAACTTTAAACCCTCATAACTTCGAAATTTTTATAGATAAAATTTTTTTAACATTTTTTCCATGTTCCTGGTATCTTACCTTATATAACATTTTTCTCTGAGGCGCGAGTTCTGGCGCACCCCGTATAAGACAGTGAGCTTAAAAAATGGTATTATTACATTTTACTTAAAATAACACATCTTCTGTGTTTTCAAATACAAAATCAAACAAAAAATCAAAATGAGGCATTTTACCTTTGGTGAATGCGTAGTTGTGGGCCTGCATGTTGTACCAAACATGTTATTTAAGACAATAAACTACTAAAGTGGACGTTAGGTACTATTAAATATTTTTTGGTTTTGTAATATTCGAAATAATGTTTTCTGGTAGATGGATGTGCATGTTGAAAAACTTTGACAATAAAATAGTGAAGAAGGTTTATTTATTCTAGTAAGAAGGTGTTGGTTATTAATTAAACTGAAATCTTAATAACTAATCTCCTGAAACATTAAAAAAGTCGAGTCGGACAAGCCGCCTTCATCCTTGTTTGGTTAACGGTACTTAGACGATGCCCCATCACCTTTTTCTACCACCACGCCTTATAATTACGACTTCCCGACTAAATGGGCTCGCTGTCAGCTCGCACCTTCATTTGTCTTTGGAGAGGACTATGGCAGGCGCGATGGTTATCGTTAATGATGGTCGTGGAGTCGTCTCTCTTGCACCTACAAACATTAACGACCACTAACGATGACGACCACAACGTTGCAAGCGTCCATAAAAATAACTCAAACGTTACGGGTCTAATTCAGCGTCAGAAACAGCCAATCTCTCGCAAACTTGTAGCCGTGACTATTTAATGAAACAAGAAAAAATATGATAAATAATTTATGACATGCATCACCGATCTGATAAAAATTTTAAAAGGGGATTGATAGAGAATCGATGAGGTTTCATTGAAATCTCGCTACAATACACGCTACTGTCCTCCATGATTTATAAAGGAGTCAAGTCTGACTGGATAATATTGTGACAGTGGATGCGTGCACGCCACGATTTTTGATCACTTACGTAATATAATATGTAATTACAATGTATTTAAATAACGCGCAAACCTGCTAATATTCCCACTGCTCGAAAATTATAAGCCGACAGCGCAGCTCGCTTTTCTCAAATTTATTCTTACTTGATATTTTAGTCAAACACGGAAACGGTCACCAGAGAAGTTAATTATATATGACGTGATTTCATTTTAAATATTCCAAGTTATTTCAATGTTTTCAAAACGCCTATTATAGCGAATCGCACACTCATTTGGCATAGCTGCTATAATACCAGAAATCTTTTTTTACACCGTGACTACTATAGAAATACATACCAAAAAATGTCGAAAAACATTGCTATACCTAAAAGTTATTCTTCCTTTAAACTCCATATGTAAATACATAATATAAAAACCAAAGATTCTAGTCTAGATCAAAAACTTATATTGTGACGATACTTTCAGTGCCATATTTGGCTCTGTTGGGTTCATTAACATTTTGTTCAACGTTATTGAATTTGTAGAAAATGAAAAATTAATTAATGTGGCTAATACATATTTATAATTTAAATGTCGTCTACAATTTTTAGAAGTCCTCCAAAGTCCCCGTAAATCCAGTGAAATCTTATATACAGGGTCAATCACAGGAGAGTTACTTCTGAAATAATTTGAGCAGAAACCCATTACACAATTCACATAGGCGTCTAGCTTCCTCATTTTTAAAAATTATAAAATTGAATCCAAGAATACTTTGCATATCTTTTCATTTTGACATTTAAAAATTAACAGTCAATTTTTGTTAATACAATGTATTATGACACAAATAACAAAAAAGTGGACATGGGCTTAATCCAAGGAGAATGCAAGAAAAATTCTCCTGCGGTAGCAACTCTGTACTTGGAGAGGTATCCAAATCGAATGCATCCGGTTCCTGAAATATTTATAGAAAACTGGAAGCCATGTTACGACAAGATTGGCCCCCAATGAAAGACCCCGTCAGAGGACTGCTACTGGCCCAGAAAATGAAATAAAAGTCCTTGAAGCAGTAGACAATTACTTGTCATTTTGACGACTTTACTCATTTTCATTCAGCTCACATTGATTACTGAATTAATTTAAATAAAATATTATATCCAGTTACATACGTTAAAGGTATTTTTAGTTGCAAACTAATTGATTTTCAAAGTAACTCTCCTGTGACTAAATCTGTATGTACATATATATGAGATGAAAACCCTTTGCCGTGTACCCACCTACATACTCGTACCTATATCTCCGGTACCGTTTAGACATGGCATCACGCTTGGTGGAGATTTTTTGGTGTAGAATTTTTTGGCGATCGCAATGTGACTGGGGCCCAGTTTGGCAACTGGTTGCATCAGATATGGTGAGCGAAATTTTCGGAACACCTGTGCGTCGAATGCCGCGACACACGGCGACATGGCGGAATGCGTCCGATTTACATTTTCGTGTGCGGCGGCCCTCATTTTGATTGCAGATGTCGATATTACCGATAACGTTTTGTGTGTATCCAGCCAGACAGTCTCATTATCGGAGGGGCATCCAACAAACCGACTGTGTCGGCTTTGCGGCCCTTTGATTGTTTATTCTCCGCGACTTCCATCACTGTCGACGAGCGTTCAATAAATCAGAGTTTGCCATTGACGTTTGGCGGGAATTATTTATGCTATTTCGCCGAGTTTGTTGTTGTTTTTTACGACGACGGCCGCCAGTTCTAGCCAATTATTGGAGTTTTTTTTGGACGAGGCTGAGAATGCGAACGCATGAATGAATGTAAGAGACGCGAGTAGTTCCAAAGCATGATCAAGAGATTGGTTTTTCAAATAGTTTTGCCCATTAATTCAGTCTATGAAAGATCAAAGATTTGAAAACTGAAGTGTTCTCTTAATTCAAAGTGTCGTAAAGAATTACACCAATTACAAGCTGACTTGGCGCCGCTTTTAGTTTTTGGACACAATCCAACCAACTTGCTCTTTACAAATACAACTCCAGTAAACATAATATATTCAAATTACTAAACGTTTCGCTAATACCGGCTCTTCTAATTTCATTATAACTGTTTCAAGCAGTCTTACAAATCGGATTTCACTTGGGGAATTTATTAACAAATCTGCTTGATGAAGTTAAGTTACAAGCCGAATTCTAAATTCTTTTCGATACCTGCTCAAAACTTGTAAATCGGAAAGGTACACAACATTAGGCTCTACTGTCAATTAATATTTATTGATACTAAAATATCGGCAAAAACCAAGTATTAGCACTGGCACCCCCTACCGCTAATCCACTTATTTTCAATGTCCGTCAAATTGTATACCCTTGGCTCCAAGATTGGATTAGACGAGTTTAACTGAGTATTGTTATGATAATTTAGAAAATCACCTTACGACCACTCCTTCGACTTTTGACGAAACAAGATTTTGGTTTATTATGTACAGCTGTCAAGAAAATTATTCCCAGCAATCTTATCGTCTTACGACAAATATTAGATTACGTTTGAAGTTATAAAAGAGACGCTTTCAAGTTTATGCAAATACCAAAAATTTTATGCTGAAGGGTATATAACTTCTGGAAATTCATCATTTTCATGAGAAGTATTCAGACCAGCAATATGTTTGCTCCCAAAAATTGTCATTTATTTTGTTCATAGGATCATGGTTCACTTATGTTAGTTATCGATGTTGAACCCCAAGACGGAATTTAGGTCGAGGAAAATAATAGGCAAATCAATATCTTCTTGAGTTGATCGTC